TGAAGAGCAATTGGGTATCAGACTGTACAGTGTTCGTAATACGTGCTGTTGGACATGCCCTGCTAATGGTCAACAGGGGTCTACCTGAAAGTGACAAACAGACCTGAAATTAAAATTTTAAAAATCCGGAATTTATACTCTTCTTCAAATGTTGGGCTAGATAATAGGTTTCTTTCAACTGATCTTTAGTTTTGAACGTTATTTTTCCTGAAGACATGGCAGCTTTACTGATCTTTTAAGGATATTAGTAACTCTAGGTAAGAGAGGTCTTGGCCTCAAGTGCTGGTTTGCTTTGGCTTTTTATTCTGCTTGACAAATCAGTGCCTGTTCCTCCTCCTCCACACAGTTGAGTCTCCTTAATTCCACTTTACAAGGGAGTTGCTTCAGCGTCTTCTCACATGTGAACTTCTGTTTAAGGATAAATTTTCCTAAGTGCTAAATCTTGCAACAACTTAGAAACTTCTGAATCAGAGTTAAGATGAAAAGCTTCACTTTAGAAGCATACAAAAAGATTACTTTTTTGGACTTCTGTTGATTTATTAACTACTCTTGAAGACTTCTTAGGACTTGAAGACTTCTTAGGACTGTGCGACCAAGTCATATCTGAAAATATTATTAAGATCCCAAAGCTACTGAGGCAGTTTTAGAAAATGGAAAATGCAACTACAATTCCCTTCCTCCTACATTTCACGGGTTGGAAGGAACAAAGGGCCGTTTCCTGGTGTTTTGATGATGATGTGAAACATGAGTGTGTCCGAAACATTGCTAGTGTGATTCTTCATTACTGTAGGTGATGAGGAAATGTGAAAGAGCTTCCTTGTCGACACATGATTAGATGTTGGTTCAAATTATTTGAACTGAGGTAATGAGGACAATGAGAGCATGACTAGTCTTTGGGAGCTGTGATCCAGCCTGTTACTTCTGAGTTGAAGGCTTAGTTTTACACCACTCCCTTCAAAATCCAGACTGTGCCAGACACATGATCTTCTAGATGTTTGCACAGTATGCAGAAGCATTCTTGAAGAGGAGTTAGGAAGGTCGAAGGAAAGAGTAACTCCAAAAGCTGTTCCTGCTGCAGCTAGTTTGTACTAATTGTCTTGACCATGTAATGAAAAGAAGTCTCCTGTTCGTTATGCTGAAAGCTGAGTACGTAACATTTCATATTGTGATTTTAAACCAGCAAGACTGCTGGAGAGTAGATCAGGTGTGTGTGACAAGGCATTGCCTCATGCCTAGTGGGGACTGGAGACTTCTTTGGGAGTAGGTTGTGTGATAGACGAATAAAGTGTTGCTGTTACCTCACCCCAGTATTCTCTGTCGTCTTCACAAAGGAGTTCATGTTTGATTTTTGTGGAGCAGTATACCTGTATAAGTAGAGAATTTGGTTGTGATTCCATTAATATTTCTCATCCAGTGTTCCTTTGTTAAAAGGGAAGTCCAGCTGCCTTAAAGGAAATTTATGCAGGTAAAGCTCACAAATATTGCTGGATTTGCAAATAGCATATGAGTTTGTTCTTGGATTTATAAATAGCATGTGTTAATAAAGACTAATTAATCTTTCCACAAAAAAAGATTATGAAAATCTGAGTTGTCTCATGAAACTTGGCCTTCAAGTCTAAAATCAAATTACTGAAGACAGTCAAGAAATTGTAAGATTTAAGGTGGTATGTGACATGTTTTTGAATAGACGAACTTAAATCAGTCATTTCCTAACAGCTTAGTGCTTGATTTGACCCCAGTAATGTTCCTAAGAGTACATTTTATGGTATATGACTTTGTAGAGAAGTACTGATCTAGAATGCAGGCATGTACCCTTCCAAGCAGAGTTTGGAGAATGGTACAGCATAGATGAGGATGCAGTATTTTAGGGTGATAAGATAAAGCTGGGGAGCTGCAGAAAGAGGAGCCCATTGGATGGTGTTGGAGAGTAGGAGCAGAAAGGCAGTCAGCAAAAGGCCTGAGGGAAGAATGTACCTTACACTGCGGGCCCAGGGCAAAAAGAAGTGTGGATCTGAGACCATTGGTACCGTTCGGTTGTTTGGGTATACAAAGAGAAACTGTATAAGCAAGGAAAAGGCTCCTGTGAATTTACCCTGCAAGAAAGCAGGTCACACCATTGTTTGATTATAGAGGTCACAGGATGACACACAAGTCATTTACATGTTAGGTAGAATTTAAAATTTCATCCTTGTTGGTTTAGCATATCTCAATGTGTTCCTCCCTACAACATCACCTTCTGGAGACCAAGGTCTTCAGTCCTTTCAACGAGTTTATTTTATATGCAACCCTAAAATGGGAGGGATGAATGTAAATAGTTTAAAGAAGCCCTGCTTGCTTCAGGCTGCTTCTCAGGTGTGGATACACTTGTGCAAATCTGCCTTGAGTGGACTGGAGCTAATCCGGGCTTGCGTAGGAGCAGGACGTGATGCCTTTGCTTTGCTCACAGTGGAAGCACCATATGCATTTCCCCACTCCAGCAGCCATGCATGTGGTTTCTGTAAGGCAAGAAAGGGCCAGCAGGGCAGAGGTGCCCTCTCTTTCACCCCCGCTCAGAGCTGGCCACCTCCTGCTCATGCAGCAAGAAATGCTTTGGGATCTGTGCAGCTTCTCCTAGAATAGCTGTAGCAAGATTAAATTTTAAAAATTCCCCTTTTCCTTCCCCCATAGCAGGTCACTTCATCTTCCCCCTTCCTTTTCATCTTAATTAGATCAGGAGGAGGTGATCTGCCAAATGCAGCCCCTGACACCTCTTACTGTACAGGAGAGACTCCCTACATCCCAGGAGGATTACCACAAACCTGCTTATAGCGGCATGAGAGTCCCATGAACCCAGGTCGTGGGCACTGCAGAGGAATCTTATCATAAATCTAAGACATCTAGGAAAGATTTCCATTGCATACCTATGTATTCTGACAAGATCTCTTTAACATTGGCTGGGGACAGCAAGCAAGTCAGACTAAAGACTACTTTTGGCACATTTTCTGAGTGCCAGAGCTTTAAAGTATTTAAAAATGCAAAATATGTGTCTAGCAAGATTTCCAAAAAGTACCCTCTTAAAAAAAAGGCAGCACAATTCTAGACTTAGTCCTTTAACTTTCTCTGGCTCTGTCTGTATAAAGCAGCCACCACAATATTGCTGCCAGAAGAGGTATTTTTTAGTACATCCAGTGACATATTTTCACATGCAGTTTTATCAGAGACAAAGCACATCTGGGCTTTAGCTTGCCATTGAAGGTGAAACCCAATCTATGGTAGCCTAATTTCATTGAAGAAAAAAAGAGACTATTTTATTGTTAAAAAATCCCTTTGGAAATACCTCAGCGATTTTGTTTTGTGAGACAAATAGTTAAACAAAAAGTAAAATTTTGCTTTAGAGTGGTGTGAGGACAAGTGATTAATATTTGTAAATGTCTCCATGAAAATCATTCAAGTTACAAGACTGTATTTCACCTCAAACAAGGCCAGAACAATTAGAGATTCATGAAGCAAACACACAGCTATTCACAGGGGGGGAAAAATAACTTTTTCTGAACCTGTTCCAGGGTAAAGTGTTACACTGCTCAGGCTCTTGGAGCACAGAGTAAGGGTCCCAGCATGTGTTGTCCCCAGAAGTGCAGGACCAAGCCCAAGGCTGCAGCCCTGCTGAGGGTAGGGTAGTAGGCTAAGGCTCAGCTGGACATGAGCACAATTAAAAAGCCTCCAGACTGGAATCAGCTTGAAGCCTGGACAGAGCCAGCCTGCAAAATTAACTTATACCTTCAGAAGGAGCTCTTCCTCGAGTATGGTGTTGTGGAGAGGTTACAGCTTCTCTCCATCCCTCCTCCAGGCCAGTGGAGAATCTCACGTCTGCCAGCAGGGTCCTTCAGATCAGGGTTTTCCTCAAGAAGGAGCACTGAAGCTTTTCTTTCAGCAGCAGGTACTGGTAGTTTGAGGATGGCGTGCAGAAAACAAGTCATACACCGAACCAAAATTCTTATGTCAGCAACAAAAAAGCCACCAAAACCCCCTCAAACACCTTCTTCATTGCCCCCTTCCCCCAGACAAAACACACCGAAAAACATTAGGGCCTAATGTAGAGGATTTCAACCTATAAATTTCATAAATTCTAAGCAGAGGAGGGGGATGGAGAAAGGGAACAGAGATACCAGGAAAGGTATCAAGAAAAGTTAAATTATTTACCTGATTATAGATTTCTCAAGTGATTTACATCTCCACTGGAAAGCAGTAGACATTTTGGCTTGTGACCTCCTGCTTACTGTTTTGCTTTTAGCTGTTAGAAGTTGAAGTGAAAAGATGGTGACTTCCACTAAAAAGTATTTGAAAATAACAAAACATGTAATTTCCCCAGCAAAAGTTTTATGTTTTGGAGGAGTCAGTCTTTTTAGTTAAAACATCATCTAGCAAGAACACATCAGGCAAATAGGGCTGTCTGTTCTGCACTGGCACAATGGAGTTCTGACCCCATTAGCTGTTACGAGGCTGTAGAGCACGTACCTTAATTTTTACACCCAGCTGCAGTGTATCCAAAACAGCCTTAATCAGAGGTTTCCCCAGACTCTTTTTACAGAACAGATAACTGAATTTGTTCTGATTTTTTATAACCTACATTGTGGTTATGCATCCCTTTGTGCCTAGGAAGCGCCACAGACAGCTTAAAGCATCAGGGTTCATGTGGGGATCTGCTTGATAGACAAACCCACTACAAAGGCAAGGGTTGAAACAGACCTCTTTAATTTGGAAAGCACCCTTTGGAGGTGCCCGAAAATAGAAATATTGCCCGAAAATAGAAAAGACTGGGGCTGCAGGGGGTCAGGCATTCCTGAAGCTCAGACAACCCAGATTTCCCTTTTCAAATTTTGTGGGTTGGCTCTACTTACTTATGAGACTGAATTGCTAATAGAATTAATTAGAAGCATCGTAAGTTGGACATCCCAAGAGTATTTCTACTTGAAGCAGTCATTAATTATTCTGACTCGGATTGTCTGTCTTTCTATTTATAGGCTGGCCATGGGCGACACTGACTGTTCTCGGGTTCCTGTACTGCTATTCTCACGTTGGAATTGAATGGGAGCAAACGTACGCTGTGAGTTAGGAATGACGCAAAACAATGATTTTTAAGACAGGTTGATGGCTTTTCTACCCTGTATATCCTGTCTGCAGAAGCATGTGCCAGACCAAGTCTTTGGTCAGTGTGTTAAAACCAAAAGCTCATTTAATTGATTCTGGATTGTGAATGCAGGAATTAAACTACAAACACTGATGGGCTGTGATTGGGGGTGGGGAGAAATTATGAAGCATTTGAATTATGTTATTTTTATAAAACAGCATCTCTGTGGCTCTATGTACGTTGGAAGCATGCATCTCAGAATAGGTATTTTATATATGCTGGAGAAAGGTTTTGTTTCTTCCAATGTTCTTCTGCCTATTTTGAGATATTGAAGAAGAAAATTTTTCCTACCTTGAAGAATTTAAAAAGCCCAGTCTCTTATAGTCTCTGTGTAGGGGCACACAGGGCTGTGCCCTGCACTTACACTGTTCCGTGAAGGGCATGGTGTTCATCAGTTCTTCTTGATTGCTTTCTGATTTAAGTTAGAACATTTTAACTGCAGTAGTTCAGCCTTAAGCTGCTTTTCTACCTAGTGTAGCAAAGTCTGCTTTTTTGCTTTAATGTCTTCATTTAAAAATTTGCCTTTAAAGCAATACCCTTTGTCTGGTAGTCTTAGGAATGGTTTTATTTGTTTCTTTAAAAAGAGAGAGTAGGGAGGCAGAACTTTTCTTAAGAATCAGCTTTTCTTTTTAATCAATTATGACCTTATAGCTCCTTGGGCTTTAAGTGCTCTCTGCCTCCTGTTAGAACTAAAGCATATACCATGATCTTTATTATGGGGTAAAATCCCACCTTGAAGGGAACCATTCAGTCTGCCTCTTCTATTTTTCTGTTACGGAAGGTCTGGCTGACTGGTAAATCTGTTCAGTCTGCCTCATTCTGTGGTGTCCAGGCAATCAGCTCCACAATATTAAAGACACCCTAGGAGTAGCATTTTAAGACCTTTAAAAAAGTTAGAATGGTCCAATACAGTGACACCAAATTAGCCAGAGCTCCATGTCCTTTGCCCAAAGGCAAACCTGTTACAGCAGCATCTTTGCTAAAAGACTGGGTTGCCCAGGGCAGAGAAAGTCCTGCCTGCCTGCAAGTGTCAGGGCTGCAGGAGTGCTTCAGCACGTGCCGTTTTCCAAGGGAAGGAGAGACCCTACTCCTGTCTGGTGTAAGGGGTGTCTCCCAAGCTGTTATTTTTTAAACTGATATTGAAGATCAGCTAGTCTTTCTAAAGTTATACATTTCACCTAGGCCTGGTGAAAGGCCACCAGTCCTGGAGAGGGCTTCTTGCAAGAGCAGCTTCCTGCACCCAAAGCAGGACTCCTGTCAAAACCTGTCCCATTCCCCTTGGCAGCCATTTCAGCCTGTTGGGAGTCACAGTTAGCATCCTGCTGTCCATCACACTCACAGCTTCAGCCAAGTGTGATAGAGCTTATCCCTTCAACAAGAAATTCAGCCCCTGAGATAGGCTTCAGCTTAGTGCCTGCATTTCTGATGTCTCTGCTGCTCAGAACTATGGCAGCCTTCTTTTTCCCCTTCATTTATTCCTGAAGAAAAAAGGGTAGAGCCTTTAGTTCTCTGTCCATCTGGAGACAAAGCCCATCTCTTGCTGTTTCAAAGCAGAAGTTCCAGCCCTTTATGTTTAAGGAAAGATTTTCTACCCCATGATTTCCCCTGGAAGTAATTTCTAGGAGATACCGTGGACTGTTGAAAATAAGACACACCTTGAATGCTGCCTGGCCAGAGACATGGCCCTCCTGATTGACTTATGATAACTGCAGGGATCCTCTCAGCCACAAGGAAGTATATTGCTCTCAGCCTCTGAATTTACTAAAAGGATCTGAGACTGGTCTCCATTTCGGAGTAGAGCTGAGCTAAGGGCAAGAACTTTCACAAACTTAAAACTTTGTAATTAATTTCTCAAACTTTGTAATTAAGTGAAATTGGTATTGGAGCAAAAAGTCATGAGTCTGTTCTTCAGTCTTATCGATTACCGTTATTACATGAGACGAGGGGCTACTAAGTGATTAGATTCCAATTTGTATGCATGCAAAACTTCCTGCTCCAATATGGAAACAACCTTGAAGGTCATCTAGAGTATGCTTATTTCTGAACTAAAATTGGTTGGGGGGTGGGGGGGTGGGTGTTGTAGGGGGGGTGTGTGTGTTTCAGTGCTTTATACATCTTTCATAATTTTGTATCCCTTTTTCTATAAATAAAGCTGAAACTCACTGTTGGCTTGAGAACTGTCTCTTAGAAAGCTACCGTTTGGTGTAAGAAAAAAGTGCTCCACTGCTGTGAAGAAACATTACTATGCACTGGAAGCCTGCAGGTTGGGTGCAAGGCAGACTGGTCACTTTTATCCCTCTTGTGCACTGTGTGGAACATGCATTCCTTGATGGTGTGAGTTTAAAAAGCAAAACACCTTTTGTACATTAGTTAAGGTGAGACTTCAGCATGTGGAGGTTCTGAGAATGGTCACCAAGAACAGTATGAAAGTAAAATGATGCTTCCCTTTAGATTCTTGCTATCCTGGTCCAGGGTCAAAAGTATGAAGTGTGCTTTCACAATTTACAAAATAGTACCTGTTTCTTACAGTTGAAATACTTATTGTATGAGCAATAGATTTCCTTCACTCTTGGTCTTTCCAGAGGTTCTTTGTCCTGCTACTTTGAAATATGTATTTCAAGGACAAGCCCACTCTCAAAGTTTCTGCTCAATCCTGCTTATAAAGCACCAGTAGGCGAAGGTATGGGGCATGCTTGGTCAGCCACACAGCTCTGTTAAGAGCTCAGGCTGTGCCTGAAGCACTGTGAGTGTATGTAGTCAGTTATACCTTCAGCTTGGAGGCATATTCCTCAGCATCACCCGAGAAATGACTCCTCATTATCATGTGGCACCTGATGTAATTGAAAAGATGTGATAGCAGAAGTGCCATCCTCCAAGCAAGTCCTCTGTGACAGTCCTAGAGAGGCGGGAGTTTGTGGAGACCCAGAAGAGACTGAAGTAGACACCCCACTTACCAAAGGAAAAAACCATGCAAGGGGAGGGGGAGAAAGAGACTTCCAAACACTAAGGAGAAGCTCATTAAGGGACCTAGGAAACAGTTGACAAAGACAGAAATTGCCAAAGACATTGGCCATTTTGAACCATGGGGTGGCACTTCTCATCTGGTGGGGGGGTTATGGGGACACTACTGCAGATAGACCCTAGTAGTCACAAGAGTGCAGTGACCAAAAAACTGCAAAGTGGTGGCTCTGAAACTGAGCTGGACATACACATGATGGCTACTGAGAAAAACAGTTTACAAGTGATTTTGAAAAACAGCCTAAGCAGCTAGCAAGCAGAGCATATCACAATATATGCCTGTAATGGCTAAAGTCTCTTCATAGACACACACGTCCTTCCCCGAACCCCCTCCTTGGCTAACAAAGCCCTACCAGCCATCATTATTACTGGCGATGGTAAGGGTATGCTAAGTCGTTCCTTCTTTAAGTCTGTATTGATTAGGGGTGAGTGAGGCTTTGCTCACATATCTCTTTCACATCTGAGCACTAAAAGCAGCTTGGAATAACCAGCTTACCACAGGTCAGAAGAAAAACAGCTTAACTGTGAAGACCTGCAGCAATTTTGTTATTAGTCATAGCAATAGCACAGGGCCTGTCCTTTCTCCTGCACACCCCCTTAATTTCCTCCATCACTTGCTAACCCGTGAGCCAGTTGCAGCTGGCGCTTGCTAAGGCAAGGTTTGCCATGATTTTCCTCAAGGAGCTGTGAAGAGCAAGGAGATTGCTATGCATGGGCTGTCACAGCTTCTGCTGTCTGAGCTTTATAGTCCCCATCCCCTCCCGGAGTAGCGCTGCCTGTTACTGCTTTGCAAAATAACTCCCTCCGTTCCCAGCCACTTGTTAGTCAAGGCGTATATTTTAATCCTGCAGGGACAACTGAAATACTGCTCGCTGCAAACCTGTGAACTCTGAGGCTGTAACTCCTTTGAGAAATGAGGGGAAATCTGCATTACAATAGATAATTTATTGTATTAAGGGACCTCTAGGCACAACCCTCTTTAGCAGGTGTCTTTGCCGACCCCCTGCAGACGTGGATACACCGGGGTGTTGTGGGCACGTGCACCAAATTCAGCAATTTCACCAGTAGCCGCTTGTGGAGCGGTTCCTCCATTAGTTGCATGTAAAAGGAAGAAAAGATTAAGACAACTGTTTTGAGATTTCCACTTTCAGCACATGCAGTCCTGTCAAGCACAGGTCCTGCCAGAGCATCTGAGGAGATGAGTCCCAACTGCCCGTGGCACAAGTCACCTACACCTGAGCTTACTGTGGACAGACCAACTCGGCTCAGGCATCCCAAGCCTGAGGACAAGCACTGGGGCAGCTCCGGGATTGAGAGGCTTTCAGGGATGCCACCAGTGCCCAGGAGGAGAGGAAAAAATGCCTCCATTCAGGGCAGCCACCACATGCTTTAGCAGCATAAGTCAATCCTCCAACCTCATGTCAGCATCACTGGCCTTGGAAACTACTGCTCTGGGAGGAAAGAGGCACATGTGCTCTGACCCAACACAGAGACCAACAGGATGAAAACTATGCAGTGGCATTAGTCAGGGGAATCAAACATACTTGCAGGTACTCAAAAAACTCCTCATTCCTTATGCTGGGAATCACAAAGGTCTGGGCAAGAGCAAATTGAGCTAACATTGGGATTTAACAGGCAGATTTGGACCACAAGCTAGGCTGCACCACCTTTCATCACATTCAGGGCCAGTTCGAGCTAAGTGTAAATAACCTTAGGTACCTGCGTCCCAGTGCCTTTCAGAAATGGGTCAAATGAAATGGGCTACCTGTGGCATGCAACCTCCACAGGAGCAGTGAGCCTACAGGTAATCGAAGTGCATCACTATCCACAGGGATTTAAGGAAAACTTTACATATGGTTTGGTAGCTGAGGTGAATCGTTGCTGACAGGCGCATCAGCCAACCACTGAAAAATTGAAGTTTACTGAAGAACTACTACAGAAATGTAACTCAGGGTATGACCTGTGAAGTTTAAATTGTATTAGCACTCCCTCTAGAGCTGATCTTTCTTGACAAAATTAATTAACTTTTATGGACCGCAGCACTTCCATCCTTGCACTAGTGCATTTGAGTTTCCAAAATTAGGTGGCAAAAAATAGAACTGGAAATGCTATTAGAAGACCACAAACATCTTTAAAAGGCAAAAGGGAAAAATGAAGACCCAGTTGATCTTTTCAGACTGCTGCTGGAAGAGTTAAGGTTGTTGTAAGGGCTCAGGTATGTGGGAGGATTACCTTATAGTAAGCCAAATTGCAGAGATAAAAATAAGCATTTATGAGACAGTTCTTTAAATGATGGTACTGCTGATTTATAGTTATGGGTTTCTTTATTCTTGTGGTAGTAGTTTTGTGCTGAGGTGGTAGTTTATGCTGAAATTACAGGCTCGTAACATTCATTTGGTCACATCTCTGCTCCAGGCTACTTCAGTGATCTCTCAGCTGCCTTCCCCACCTCTTGCATCCTGCCCCAAGACCACCCCTTGATCGGGTTCAGTTCCCATGACAGCACTGCAGACACAGTAAGGGCACCGTCACTTTGGCAAACATCTGCCCAGGATCAGGCTACTTAACAGCAAGCCCAGCGCTTGCCCAGCCCCACTGCTGCCTGCTGGGGCCTCTGGGATAGATAGAGCGGCAGCGTGAGGAGGTAAATAACTACCCTTTAGTACCCTCCCCACACGTGGCCTTACCCTGGGCCCCATGCTACAACACCACGCAGCAGCATCAATGCCCAGCCCACCCTGGTTACTTATCCTCAGATTTCCTCAGTTTGATCAAATCCTGCCAAACAGCCCTTGTTAAAAAAGAGACCTACAAAGGGTCTTCTATCTCTGAAGACGTCCTGCTTGCCTTGAGGGGTTAGGCCAATAACCACTGATACCAACAACAACTGCAAGTTTAGTATGAGCCCTGACATGGTATAAGGGTTAAAAAAGTGCGGCAATCATGCAAAATACAAGAGTGTGCTGCTTCTGGGGTACTTGGAGGCTATGAGCTGTCTGTTGCTTAATGCTGGCTGAGGAAACTTCTGATTGAAGCAAAATTGCATTTTTATAATAATAAGGTTAATCTTTCAAACTTCTTTAAGGCTAGTGGCAGTAACACAAGGGTACCCTATGACACTGGCAAAGAAACCTAGGCAGGATGAAGTTATCTCACAGCTCCTTCCAGAAGACAGCCACACCCCACTAATGAAACTGCAGCAGCTGTGGGGCAGATGGTAACTGAGGGCTACAGGTCCCTAAGGAGCTTCCTGGACAGTCAGTCCCATTTGCCCTCATACCAGTATTGTGCTTTCATTCAGCTACTCCTGCTCCCTCCCTGCTGTCTGTCCCCTTGGTGGGTTTGCAGACTGCACTCACCCTCTCACCCTTTGTTTTTCTAGGCTTTCCTCAGATGCTTTCCTGAGACACAGAAAGGTTTCCTCCATAACTGATTTTCCTGGACAAAGGAAACGTAGCAGATTCAACCCATCGGGACAGGCATCCAAGGCTGCACTTTGGCCACATTATATGAGTCTTCCACTTACTGCCATGGCCTCAGACTCTTCTCCTGACACCTGGCCTACCACTGAGCCCACAGCAGCCTGAGTACAGCTGCTTTTGTTCATGGCTCACAAATGAGACATTCCCACCCCAATCTTACAGAGCTATAATATATACAAGAGCCACTGTAATTTCATGCAGTAGTCGATGCACGGTTTCTGCACACTTTCCTAAAGAGTGCTTTTTTTCAATTTAGCTTTCAGCTGAACCGTCTCCACACTTCCAACAGCCAGGTTCAATATGGCTGCATGTGCAGTGTTATCATCCTAAAGGAAAACCAAAACAAATACTTTATTTTGACTTGGGGCTACATACAGATTATTTTAGCTCTCATTCTTATCCTCATACCACAGCTGAGAATGTTCAATAAATTTTCCTGTTATTATCAGTTCTTTTAAAATACCTTCTGCTTAACCGTAAAACTCACCAAAAAAGATTGCCAGAGAGGTTTGAAAGCAATCTGTATTTCCCTTCACTGTGAGCCGCTGCTTGCAGGGACCAATTCTTATTGAGCTGTCTTGGTCCTATTGCTGTGCACACAGTAGCCCCCAGGTTTAATACTGCCACCGCTGCTTAGCGTTTCCCCCAGTGGTAACCCTGGCTTAAGAAGATGCCACAGTCCTGCTTTTACAGGACAATCCACACATCTAATAGATACTCCAGCACAGTTTCTCCCCGAGTTGTGTATTTGAGCTAGGAGAATGGGGGTGTGGAGGCAAACACCCATACCAAAACATGTCCCCCTCAAATTTGCACCTATAAACTGCAGTGACATTCACAGGGTCTGTGTGTCCCCCAGGCAGGCATTAACAGCAAAAACCACACCTTTTTTGCCTCACTCATCTGCCTGAACAGAAACGCGTTCAAGGAAAACTCTACATCTGAACAAAGCTTAAAAACCCCCAAACAATATAAATAAAAGAAAAACTAAAAACTTTGTATAACGAGGCATCTCAAAAGCAAGCTTTTGGAGGTTGCTCACTCACTCCTGCCTCCGTTAGTACCAGATGAGAATTTTGGGTAGAAAAGTTGAGTCAGATATGATGGATCAACCTGCCGAAGTTAAGCTTGTTTTAAATGTACACCTGTGCAATGGGGCAGGTTAAATTTGAATTTGACTGCGTTACATGAAGGCTTGAACTTAATTAGGAAGGGAGGAGAGGAATGGAAAAGGAAGAGGAAAGGGAAAAAAAACAAAAAGCTTGGGCACGTGTATTTTGCAGATATGCCTGTGCACAAGCATCTTCATATCTGCCTCTGATGGACATGGTAGGAGTTCAGTTACTGTAAAGCCACCTTTGGATTGCTCACAGGTTTTTACTCATTCTGTCTTTCAAGAACCGGACAGGTTATTTCTCCCAGCTTCCACATATCAACACTGAGGTGGTGAATCAGAATGAAGGGAGCAAAAAAATGCAGTCTTCTAGGTGAAAAATATTTGCTTCGTATGCTATAGGCCTGTTGCAGTGAAACCCCTCATACCACTGGTGGTAATAAATACTATCTCGACACCACAACCTTCTTGGCACTTTCCAGTTGGATACACAGCCTTACTAAGCACCCTGCCTCAGTGGGGCGCAAAGCAGGCACAGAAAGCTGCTCATCAGCCGACATCCCCTCAAGTCTGGGTGCCCTCTGCGGGTGGGCAGGCAGGGAGCGTGGCGGCCAGGTGGGAGCGTGGTGGCCATCTCTCACATCCTTCCACGCCAGGCTTGTTGCTCCCCCCCGAGTCTGGTGGGCTGTGCTGAGCATCCTCCCACACCAGACAGACACATTGCTGGCATGCACTGAGCAGAAAACAGTTTTGATGTTCCTTTAGTGATGCGGGGAGCAAATATAAGACATTGCTATTGCACACATGTGTGAGAGGGGTAGATTTGCTGCAATTCAGTCCCACAGATTCTCACAGCACAGATGAGCTGGTTTATGCTGGTTGTATTTACTCCCAGTGCAAAAAAAAAAAAGCATCTTAGCCAGAATGTTTCTGACTGCAACAGAGATACTAAAATGTACCACATGGCACCCCATTACTAAATGCAAAACTTAAAACCGTGTAAGCAGCACTTACCGCCCCACAAGCTGACACACCACAGACTGCTCTGGGAGTCACTGCTGCTGCCCCTGCAGCCAAGTACCACAGGGCCACAGACCCAGCCAGGTGAGCCCCCACATTCTAAGAGGAGTCCCTGGCAGCTGTAACACACGCAGCAGCATAGGGGTGAGGAAGCCTTTGTGGGCTCCAGGCCCTCAGCCAGCCAGTACTACCAGCAAGGGGCTCCTTTACAGCCCAGGGGGGCTGCATGGTATTACACAAGCTCTAACCTCAAGCTCTCCTCTGGCTACACACCTTCAAAAATCTTACAGGTACTGTCCTTTACAGTAACAAAACAGAAGCAGCTTTTTGTGTCTGCTCTGCAAATGCTCCCAGGTGCAATGAATGAGGAGCAGGGTCTGGCACAGGTGGGCCAGGGGGCTGCTCAGCTGAGCCCAGCCCTGAGGGGCCAGCAGGTGGAACATGAGCCTTTGCAATTTGGCACACAAATCTGGGCAAAAAGTGCTGTAGCACTCAAAACCTTTGGTTTGGAATGCTGAGGGGCTGATGGGAGGGAAGCCGGGACAGGGAACGTTGTGTGGGCAATGCTACCCCTCTTTGCACTAATTTAAGCTTGCAGCACAACCAGGGAGGCTGGTAAGAATGCAGGAAAAGCCCAAGCAAAATAAATAATAGTTTAGAAAATGAGAACAACAGCCTCCAGAGACCTCAGAAAATCACCCAAAAAGTACATGCCTTCACTATGGTAAAAAAATTCTAGTAAGTGCAGGAAACACTGTAAAACATTAAGCAAAAGAAAGCTGGGGTTTCATACTGGCCTGTGAAACGATGCTAGCTGACTGGAGAGCCTGTCACATCACATACTACAGTGGATGCAGAAATGGTGTTAAAAATAGCTCCTCATTGTGCTCCTTGGCTGCTCTGAGTACGGTTTAGCTTCGGCTCTGCAGTCTGAAAGCTTATGCTTTATTGCTGTTCTTTTGAAGATGAGATTCACAATCCCATCAAGTGTCTTAATGCAGGTGACAGCCGCGCTCACCAAACCCTCAAGCAAGAGTATGGAGAACAAGCCACAGAAATGGGTGTGAAGCTCATGGGGTCCAGGCTGACATCCTGAGGACTAGAACTCTGTATACACATCCAGAGCAGCTGCTGGCCCCCAGGAACATCTGCTGCGTGCGATCCCGTCATGTATGCCTGTCCTGACCTGAAAGGATCTCCCATTCCCATCGCATTTGGTTATTGATTTCTTTGCTGAGGTAGCCAACAAAATAATACCCTGTTGCAGTAGTGTCACTGGCAGGTGACACACACACTATTAGGGGCTCCATTCCTGTTGTTTTTGTCTTCATATAAGTCCGTGGTAAGGTTGCCTTCTTCTGCAGCAGGTGACAGGCCAGCAGAAGTCTCTGATCTCTATTACTCTGGTTTCCAGAAGTTTTGTAATAGTTCTCAGATATTGCAGTAGGGAACACAGTGTAGAACCCAGACAGACACATGTACCCTCAGGACATCAAATGATCATTTCGGACAGGCTACAGCCACTCTTCCAGGGATCTCCTTCCTGCTCAGCAGACACCTGGCCCAGACTGGACCCCACAGTGCAGGACGCTGCCGGAGGTGCCAGGTTATTCCCTTTACAGAACACCTGAGTTCAGTTTACAGTGACCCTGGCAGTGTAAATCCCGCTTGTACTGATACACAGCAGACAGAAATCTGAGAAAACAACCTGAATTGTTTACGACCAAACCAGTAATATCAAACTTCTCTACTGGTAATATTCAAGATACAAAACGACAGCAACAAAATGGCTAGCCAGAAATTCTAGAGAGTAACTTAAACACCCCCCCTTGTTGATCTTATAAGCATATACTCAACACATAGAAAAGCACACCAAAGCAACTGTAATGTATAAAATAGTTTATTACTATAATAAATAAAATTAAACTTTTTTTTTACAAATATTATTTGTGCTTGTTTAAAAATGTTGAATAGGGATATCATTAATGTAGGTGGCTGCATTTGTAACTGAAACATTCCCAGACAGTGCGTATACATACGTACGTACACACTCTATCAACTGGCAGCTGCTTTGCTGACCACAAAAATAGTATCTACTCATTCTCTTTTTCTAGTCATGCTTCATTGAACAAAGTGACAAATGCAAAGAAAAAGAACCAAGAGTATTTGGTGGATTTCTGAAAGGATAAAAACAAGTGAAGTACATTGAAAAGCGCCAAAGCAACTGCGTTAACTGCATATCAATAAAGTGTCCATGCAGTGGGGCTAAATATTGAAATGCAGACAGGTCTCCAACAGATGTACAAATATTGATTGTATGTAGGTACAATAATATAACACATTCATTAGAAAACTTGGTATTTCTTTATATAGCAGTTCATCCTGATACAAGATTATTGAACTTCTTTCATCTACAGCTAAAATGATTCTTCTTCTATGTTAGTGGTCACAGATTCAGTGGGAAGAAGAAAAAAAACATGAGCCTTTCAGAACAGTTAGTGAAAACCCAGAACTGTTTTGTTAATGTTAGGCATTTAGATCCAGTTACAGAGATGTTTTGGGACTACACATCAAATATGTTTACACAACACTCAACAATCAGCTTGAAACAAATTACAGTTGCAGGTATATTCACATTAGCTTTGTCAAACTGTAAAAAAAAATAAAAAATCCTTGAAACAAACACTTTTGCAAATATGATGGTTTGGCTCCCTGATATACAAAAGTGTTTAGACAATAGTTATGTCTCTTTGTTTTGTGAGGGGAGAGGGCTATTGGAGTAATTCATTATCCTAATAAGAAGGCAATAAGTGCAGAAAGAAATGTGATTATCAGCAAGTGATTTCCATTAGATTTAGAAAGCTAATCAAAGTGCTTCATCTTTAGGCAACACTGTAAATACTACAGAACATTAAGAAGGAAGGAGAATGGAATCACAGTTTGAATTATAACACTTATGAAAGGGTCTTAAGGCTAAATGTTGGATATATCTTATTGCAAAAAGCTTTATTTTTATTTAATTGAATCAATGCTTGCCACAACAGTGTGGTCAAAACTATGTCAGATTGGAGGATACAGTAACCTACTGTGCCTCACCTCAGATTTCTGGAGCTTCCCTGTGCACAGGACTCTCTCTAAAAGGTTTGTCTTAATGAATCAGAAGTGCAGCTGAAACACAGACTTTGTTTATTGCCGATACACCCACAGAAGACTACGTGGAAATGAAGAATTCAGCAGAAGATGCTTTTCACCACCTAACACCAGGACAAGAAAGCAGAGGTGCAGCGACCATCTGTTACACTGCCCGTGAGAAGGAGGATTAGGCTCAGCACCTTTGAGACAGCGCCTGGTACCAGGAAAAAGAAATCCATTTATTCTACTATCTCTGTTGCAGGAGAAGCCACAAGAAGCACTACCAGGGCAGTTTAGCTTCAGAGATACTGTGACAACAAACAGTGGTGTATGAGCCTTATTTCCACCGACTATGATACAGCATTTTTCCAATTTCACATGTATTTCTGTTTTCTGACTATCACAACACTTGTCAGAACTTCTCTCAGTCGCAGTGTTTGCCAGACTAACAGTATAAAGTTGAGGCCAACTAGAGAAACCAAAAGTCATGGCCTTAAAAGTTCAACAGTTAACAAACAAGATACTAACTAGGACATTCGGTGGATGTCTACTGGGAAGATTTAAGCTCCCTTCTTGAACTGGAATCATTAAATAAGGAATGTGCTTTTATTTAACAGAAATGCAATCCACAGACTTATCTATACATAGATATTATATATATGTGTGTATGTACACGCATCTGCACAAGTGTAATCATACACATTGTTTATATAGTAAAGACAAATTATGTATTAAATTCTTTCACAGACTGGTCAAGAGTGATTGAAAAGATATATCACCAGATATTCACAGTAAATATCTTGTTGGGTTCATTAAAGTGAAGTGTAGAAACAGAACATCACCTTCGAAGCTGTTAAACAGGGTGTTCGCTGGGATTCAGGGCAGCACTGTGAAAGAGATTTAAAGCAAGAATGGTGTTTTTAAAAGTATACATATAATACCAGACAGAAGTAAACGTATCTGAATACGGTAGGGATGACAGTTGGGTTTTGCTTTTTTAATCCTGTGCTTCATATTTTTAAGCATGAACTTTTAGAAGTTCCCATTTTACCAAATCATAACCCAGGCTCTTTCGCTCAACTACCTGCAACTGAAATCTAAGTCCATTGTCTAGTAAAAATGGAACACACCATCTCTTTTAGATTAATGCAGGTTATTTACCAGGTTAAATGGCAGAAGCACTATGCCAGAACACAGTTAAAACTGAGGCTTTTTGTTTTTTCTCCTACTGTGTACAAGCATTTGCTTGTTAAGGGGCAGAGTCTCATGTTCAGAGATCATTCATTTCTAAGCTGGAAGATAATTTAAGTGAAAAGGCCTAGCCAACATGTAGAGAGAAACAAAAGAAAAAGGAAAAGCTGACAAATAAAATGAAGGAACAAGTAACAATTACGATGGGTACACACGCTGTCCAGCCATAGGCATCTAAATGTAAGGCTCAATGGAGAAAGACAGATTTGTAACACAGGTGCTTTCAACCACTCTCTAAAGGAGAAGTGCTGCATCAGCGGAGCCTGGGCACCACAGCACAGGTCCAAACTAGTCCAAGGTTCAAAGGAGTGACTAGGCTCATAGCGGGCAAGGTTTTGCTCATTTTAACCACTTGGTAGCCCGAGCAATCCAAAGACCAAAACTTATCCTAGATAGTATGTTTTTTTCAAATTCTCTTACAACATATACAGGTTACTGAGGGATGATGCAGTCTCCTACAAGTAGCTTTAGTGCCTGCCAGTTCATAAAATCATAATAAATGGGTCTAATCCCAGTTACAGCTGTGAAAATCTGAATGACATTGACTGCTGTCAGTGCTGACCTGGAGCAGACACCCTGAAGGTGTCATTGTAAGGAGCAGAGTTTCTCTGAAGTTTCATGACCAATACGAAATCAAATTTGGCCATAGTCTTCAAAGACATTAGATTTTACGTGTAATTCAGGAGTGTATTACAATCTTTGAAGGCTTTACAAATGGATTATAAATGGCTTTATAGCCCATTATAAGAGCCTCATAAAATCTTTAAAAAAGGACTCTGTGCTGCACCCGCCCGTTGTCACACAGGGTGTGCAGGACTACAGTATTGTACTGAACGTCAGGCTACATGAGAAGTACCCCCAGCAAATGGGGACTTGTCTTCTTTTATTCACAGGTGGGGCTGATTGTGGGGCTTCTAGGGCCGTGATTCCAGACCAGGGCAATCAGCAACACCAGAATAACCGTGAACATATCCCTGAGGGCACATAAAAATACCACTGAGAAACATTAACTTGATATCAGCAACAAAGGGCCAGGTAACCTGCAACTGCACATTTAGTTCTACGTCTGCGCTGCAATTCTGGAGATAGTAGGCACATACTGTGGAGGTTATAAACATTTCCCCCCACATCCACCCAGGATAAGCTAATTTCCATGTTTATCCAACTGGGGGTAAATGAGTGACACTTTCACAAAGCGCTCGCTAAATTCAGCAAGACTTTCAGCCTTTCAAAAATTCTACAAAGAAAACCTAGTGTCAGGAACATAATGCTGATGAGGAATTTGTCTGGATTAGGAAACTGGCTCCAAACCAATCTCTAAAAACTCGCTGGAACTTTTGGGTATCAATTATATATCCTTGTATACCTGTGGTTTACCTGGGCACAATTTCATTATCCAGTGAATTTCCTGACTGAGGAGAGTAGAAAGAAAAATATCATTCAGCAGTTTCTAACTGAAACCACTGATGTATGATTGATTTCTTAGGGCAGTCATGCCACAGCTATGACAGGTAACTGTTGCCACTTACAGTGATTAAAGCACCAAACACACAGGGTGACTTTGGTCAAAGAGAGACTTCCTCGGTACTGCATGTCTGCAGCGCATGACTGTAAAAAGACACCAGTTACCACTGGAAAAACCTAAACATGGAACCAGAAATAAATTAAGGAAATGGCACCTTGGTTTCAGAGCAAGTCACCTCCCTACTGCCTCTTCTTGTGGGAGAGAAACGGTAACCTACAGATTTGATCCCGACAGCTGTTTCTCAGGAATATTTCAGAATTCACAATCTGTGGGCACTTCCATATCAAGCCAAGGTGTAAGACCCTTGAAAAACAATCCTTAGCCAGCTGCCTCTGGACCTGGAAATGGTAGTGCTGCGCTCGGAATAGCCGTCATCTTTGAGAGCAAGAGCAGTTACCACAGAAACAGATACAAACAAATACAGTGATTTCAAGACCTGAGCTGGTAGCTTTGCACAGCACAGCCTCACCACTGTGCCCCTTCATCCGTGGACCTCACAGTTCCCCAGGGATGTCTGGCACAGTTCTGCATTGCACTGTGCAAGCATTAGGCCTGCAGAAATCCTTTCAAATGGTCATTTTCCTTGCCTCTTCCTTACTTAATATGAACAAAAATCTTCCCCCAAAAATCATGTGGTTTTTGTAAATGACATAGTACCATGGAAAAGAATGAGACTCAACTACTCCCACAACTGTGTTAAGACCTATTGCCATTAAAAATGAAAACCCAAAAAAGTGTTGCACCATGCTTCTGAGCTCTAACCTACTGTTAAATAGTGAACATACCAAATCAGTGGAGAGAGTATACTGTGAACATACACCTGTATCCCAAGGTGATAGCCCAAGCCATGATACCAGCTGTGCTACCCTATCTAATGAATAATGAAGAGTAGTTTTGGTAAAGTGCTTCAATCTTCCTCCAAAAAAAGTTATGAAAATATAGGTTTTGGAAACATCTCCTTCTTTAAGAAGCAGATCTTTTTGTTTCCTTGCTACAATAGCACTTGTATACAGTAAGCACTGTATTTCTACCTCTACTATCCATTTGCTTACTAGCTAGATTAGATGAGGAACAATACATCTGGATGTAGAGGAAAATGCCACGATTTAAAATCTTTAAAAGTTCTGTGAAAGCCTTTGGCTACAATGAACATTATCAAACCAGAAACTTCTGAATAATAATTAAACAAGAATTAAAAGAGCAGATTCATAGCAAAACTAGGACATAAATGCCACAGTATATTTTCATGGGGAGGCAAATCTGCAGGACGTGCTATAGACGTTCACAATATGTTGTGCCATGGGGCTGGGTTCAGGTCCTCTGTCCTCCGGCAGCTGGAGTTAAAAGCAAATGTGACAAATATTCAAAGACATCTGAGACAGAAGTTTTTGAAAATCAGTATCCTTGTCTCAGTGAATGAGAATGTGGAAGATCCCATTTATTAACAGACCTGAAATACTGTGGCTACTATTGAGGATGTTGTTAAATGTAATTGTTTTAGCAGTATGTCAGTTTGCAATTAAAAAGTACAATTTTTTTCATCTTTTTAGCCCTTCCTTGATTACCCCAAAATAACTTCAGTACTCAGTAGCACACATTCTGTTGAATGTGTCTATGTCTCCTACTGCTCTTTGCATTATTACAGATACATGAAAATATACTGTGACATTTAACATGCTGTACAGGTGACTGAGACAGTGACAGCAGCAGCAAAAAAAAACCCCACCAAACGCTGAAAACATAAGCACCTTGGCAAGTACTCATTCATATAAGCAAAACCCAAGCTAATGACATAAGGCATGCTCCAAAAACCTCAGAGGTCACCTGGGGCTCATGGGGATGGCTGCTGCTGTCAGAACTCTTATTCCAACATCCCAAGGGAGAAAGCCGAGGTTACACCCAGCACGTTTTCCTTTCCTCGCCCAGCACGTTTTCCTTTCCTCAATATTAACTAGTTTTGAAGGTGAAGTCTTTAGTAAGTTTTGGGGGGAGACTCTGCCTTCTTTTAATCTTCAAAGAATTTTCAAGACGTATCTGTAGAATCAATGTCATTAGAGATTAAGGTCAAGATTTCTCCTCCAAACATTAAAAAATTAGGTGGACATAAATGAATACTTGAAATATCTTATTTGGTTGTCAAATCTGGAGAGCCCAGTAACTGTTACCTGGATCTTCCTGTGCTCAGCACTGAAACCCAAGCATCATTTAAATAACGTAACATGGACATTTTTCATTAATATGACTTCCATAATTTCTTTATGATAAGACCACAAGAACAGACTGCAATGTGACCTCCAGCATAAGGCAGGCCATAGGATTGCTCTGAAGGGGCATTCCCTGAAGGGAATCTTGTTACAACCAGACTATCTTTTAGAAAAACATCCAGTTTGACAGCAATAAAGAACCCATCATCACATATTGATAAAAGGTTCCTGCAATTTTTGCTTTAAGACTGAGTTTGTCTGACTTCAGTGACATTTCTGCTTATTGCTCCCTCAGACACTTAAAAATTCACTTTTAGAAATCTAGAGTCTTATGTTTAAAAATCTCTGCAGAAGTATTAAATGTAGACAGTTACTACTGTGAAGCATTTAGAACATAGTTTTACTGATATGAAACAGGCAAATTTCACACCTTCAGAATTTTCAATTTAACTCCCAGCTTTCCAATTTTAACTCTTTGGAGATGTTTGAATTATTTCCTACCTTCCAACATCTTTAACAGGCAGTGCTCAGCACTTAAATGCTCGCTCTTACCCAGAGCTAGAGTATATAGTTGATTTAGTTAAATACAAGGTTCCTTAAAAAAGTCAAGTAAAACAACTAATCCTACAATGAGTCTTCCAGCTGTTTCCCTCTGCTGGCTCGATGCTACCCACTCGCTGCTTGCTGATGTTTCTCTAGAGCTATCTAGCACAGCTCCAAGTTGTTTTTCCTGAGCAGTAATAAGAGGACAATGGGCACAGGGGTACTCGCTTTGTTTCATGAAG